CGATTATACGAGGACAGTTAGAATATAAAAGTGTGATTTAAAGCTCTAGTCGAATATCGGATTAATAAATAATAACGAAATGGCGAATTCTGCTTGCCATTGATAGACAGATATCGATGAAAGATAACCGAGTTATGAAAAGAGCTTGTTTAAATTAAATCGATCGATTTTCGAATAGCTCGTTTAGAAAACTTGGACTGGTATAGTTAATGAAGAAAATAGAATAAAAGAAAAATAAAAAAAAAAAAAAAAATAAAAATAAAAAAAAATGAATTCAAAATGTTCCAAAAGATGCAAGCTCAAAATAATGTCACGAATTATATTAAAGTGCCATCGTTTTCTTATGCATGTTCGAATCCTTGTATTACTTTGGTAAAATATATTATTAAAGAGTAAGTAAAAGATGTATTTCGACGAGTAACGAGTTATAGATAGTTTTCATTAACGAAGTTTCATTAATAGGCGATAGTCTATATAGAATATGATATGTAATAATATCATTTTCTCACATTTTAAGCCTTCAAAAAGCTTGAAGAGTTTGCAGGAGGAATATTCTTTTTTAATTTATAAAATTCATTTCGTAATCCATAATCCTTTTTCCTAGAGAATTTTAATGAGACGACGGTGTCAATAATCATCTTTTTTCTTTCATCTTTTATCAAAATTATCGTTGTCTTACTGCAAACCCTTCAATTTTAATTACTTCATTATACGATAACTCGTACGACATACAATTTTCAATATTACTGCAGTACAAATGGCCATAAAAGCAAACAGAAATTTCAAACTCGATAATTAAAACTCATCTCGAAGGCTTATGTTTGACGTTTCAAATACTCATTATCATTATTTATTTACTCGTTTTTTATGTGAATACTTAACACCAAATTTACATATTACAATCTCGGTTTCGTATCCCATTTTAATATACGAAAATACTTTTTCACTTGTAAAAAAATTAAGGGATATGAGTAATAAACAAATTAACGAAATTTTACTAATATAAACAAATCATCTTGCATACGATAGATAGGTATAGTTTAAAAAGGAAGCTATACGAATAATTTAAAAAAAAAAGAAAATACAATTTTTCAAATAGTAGTTCATAATGTCAAAGTGTATCGAAATTTAAAACGATATGGAGATTACAACCATTCAAAGTCAGACACATATGCTTCGTACCAGACCACGATAGAGGATTGCGTTTTTTCTTATCATCCTTCTCCCATCGATGTTTGATCATTTTAGCTTGTTAAAACGAGGTCTTATATCGATACGGTGTGAAATGTATTAAATATGCATAAATTGTCAACGATCTTCGACCAACGCTAGCTTAATTAGTCCCAGTATTGCTGGATAAGCGAGATGAGATTAAGATTTAATAGACAACAAAAAGAAGGGAAAAAAAAAAAAAAAAAAAGAAAAGAAAAAAAAACGAAATTAAAAAAAAAAAACAATCAGTCGTTCTGATCCCCGATGAAGAGAAAAGCGGACGAGAAATTTTTGCATGGTGTCTGGTTAAATATCTCGATATGTAATGGCTCAATGGCTCACGAGGATAATTTATCATTTCTACGTGTTTAATATAGCGTAATGATAATCAATTTTAAGGAATTCGAACCATTCGATATTGAATATTCAAAAAAAAAAAAGATAAAGTGATAAATTTAGAGAATTTAAACAATTTAAAAGATTATCCGTTAACAGACACCATTGTAATAAAAAGCGCAAGAATTTTTATTCCGCTTGTTTCCCACATTCGACAATTCGATCAGTTGAATTAACGTAATTGAATACATGATTGGCTTAAAAATTTAATAACCTATTAATTGGCATTTCAAATTTAAACATAGAAATTGAAATTAAGAAGACGTGTTATATTTAACGTTGTAATTAATTATAAAAAATTATCATAATTTTTTTTTTTTCGATTATCGTTTCATTCAAATTCAGGATAGAGATATAAAGAAATATGATAATATAAAAGAAATAATATAATATAAAAGAAATTAATTTTTATAATCTTCAATAATTAATATTTTACAAATATTTCATTTTTTTCGACTTATTATTTAAGTACAATAGCACGTCCTGTTAATCTTAATTTCGTACAAGAGGCAAATTTTAAAATGCATGTGCGTATAATATATACGAATATATTCTGCGGCGTGACCGCGAAATTTCAACTTCCCGCATTTTTAACTTTGTATTAGTAGATAAAGAACACGATGATTACCATTAATGTTACCTTACACGAATATAAACAATAATATTTGTAATAGCTGTAAATTTACATTACGACAACTCGGAGAGATATGAGATTAAACGAGAAAATTTAGACACACATTCACGCAATTTTGCTATTATTGTTATAGCATAAAATATAAGTAAAAATAGTTACGAATTTAACAAATTAACGATTAATTAATTAATTATATATGAGCATCGAAATAGTGCAGTTTCATCGCGATTTTATTCACGATGCAGATTGCAAGTTGCAAAAATCGAGAGAGAGAAAGAGAGAGAGAGAGAGAGAGAGAGAGAGAGAGAGAGAGAGAGAGAGAGAGAGAGAGAACAGAATTTTAAAAGTTAAACGCGAGAAAAAAGAGAACAACAAAGTCTGGTGTATTGCATTTTCGAAATTCTTTTTTTTATAATTATATAATTAGTCTTCTTTTTAACTGTTTAAATACGACTTAATTCATTTCTCTGATCAAAGTTTTATCAAAAAAAACTATAGTAACAGATTTCATAATAATATAGATGCGTCTATCTATTCGTAAAATAGTTTGATATCGTTGAGAATATTTATTTTTATCTATGCTCTTTATTATTAAATTTGAAAATTAGTTCTTTTCTCTACAAATTTATAATGTACATAAATAATAACAAATGAGAAAAATTTTATTAGAAAGGTTAAGATACAATTAGATAAAGAAAACCAAATATCATCTATCATGAAAATAAATAAAAAAAAATTTTTAATAATTTCAAATTCAAGATTCTTTAAAATGTACATAGAAAGATTGACGAAAGCTTTTTCAGATCGAATCGTGTTCGAATGAAATATCTTATTATGCAAATATGCAAGGCTTTCACTTTGGTTTTTATTCTTAAAATTAATGAAACGAAAATGAGAATCTGTTTATCGAAATTAAAAAAAAAAAAAAAAAAATGCCTGGAAATATCACTTGCGATGATTACGATTATTTGTAAAATGCGAAAGAAAGTCCTCATTGAAAGAAAAAAAGAGAGATTATGGAAATATAAATCCTAATGGCTTGTACGGGTACAATTTTCTCGAAAATCGAATGGAAGAAGACCACATATCCCTCGTTTTCATGTATTATAAATAATGCACCGTCGTTGCAAGGATCTTTAGAAAGTCCCCCTTCTTCCCTTCCCCCATCCAAAAAAAAAAAAAAAAATAAAAAATATTGAAAGAAAAATTAATGTTAAACGAAATGATAAAAGCTGAACGATCGAAGAGATAAGAAGAAAATAAATACGATAACAGCATGCGTGTGATCGAAATCGGTTCCCAAATCTGCCTGCATACACCGCCACGTGTACCGACGTTTAAGTGGATCGTAATTTGTAAATTACTATGGACTTCCTAATTATATGCTGGTATATGATAATACATGTGCTCTGCCACAATAAAGCAGTTTTTTTTATCTAAAATATATGTCGTTATTTTTTTCTTAATATACCTGGGACGAAATCTTACCGAACAGATAACAACTTATTGTATCATATTAAAATACGAATCGAATGAACCATGATAAAATATAAAATACAATAATAATTTTGAAAAAAAATTTACTGAATGGAATTTAATGAAATTGTACTATTATTAGATATTTTTTATATTGGTTTTTATATTTAATATATTTTTAATTTAAAAAAATAATAGATCACTTATAATGCGAAAGCATGAAAAAATTGTATAGAAATATAATTATATGTACATATAATAGAATTTGAGTTTTAATAATTTAAAGTTTTTATAAATAAGAATAATTAAATTACAAAAATCTTTTTTGTAATTTAAAAAGTATTGAAAATGATAAAGAGTTCAAAAAATAGAAATTGCAATTTGAATCAGGTTATCATATATAATAAACTTTAATCAACTATTAACAATAGAAAAGACAAGATAAATCATTGATATCTTTAATAGTGTGAAGCTATATATAAGTTACTTAGTTTCAACGACATAGAAACGTGGCAGCACTGTACCGTCCTTGTTAGTTTTACGTGGCTATGGCTGTCATTCAGAGTGATATTAAAAATTTTTGTCGTTTGCATATTCAAACATATTAAAACGTAGATAATTTAATTTCTTTATAATTTTCAGAAACTAAAAATTAACAAGTCAAAAATTGTATTTTCATATCTTTGAAAATTATTAAAATTAAATATATTGTAAAATTTCAAAATTCAAACTTTATCCTAATTATTATAGATTGCTATCAACAATGAATAATGCAATAATATATATTATTTTTCATATATAAAATTCTAATTTGATTAATAGATATAAATTAATAGATATAAATAAATAATAAAATATTTCATTTTAAATTAATAAAATTAAGAAACTTTTTATTATTTTTTTTTAAATTTTCTAAATTTATTTATTACATATATTTTAAAATCAATTTTACGTAAATAAAATGATTAGAAATATGCATTCTATTTTTTCCGAATAAGTCACATGATCATTTACGAATACTCGATATATATAAAAAAATATAATCTTTCAAAATAATAATGAAATAATCTAATATGAAATTTTATATATAATTCTAAACTCGATATTATAAACATTATAAACTCGATATTACTGATTTTCGATAAATATATTCCTTTCAAAAGTCTGATTTATTCTTATTATTCATCGACAAGCATGCCCTGTCTGTTTGATCATGCGTGATTGTATCCACACGTAGAAGTGGGAGTAATTGTGCATGAAAATTTGATAGGTTTGCATTAACTTGGCCGACCTCTTAAACACCTGGACGATCAATCATTATATATCTAAGGCAAGTCTATACGAAGTCTATACGATTTGGATTATTACATATAATTTTATTAATTAAAAATGAAACATAAGATTGGTGAAGATTTTAGCCATTTTGCGATTTTATCAAAGTACGACGTAAATCGTATTAAAGAAATAAACAATTAAAAAACATAATCAATACCGTAAAAGTGTTAGTTTTTCTTGTCTGGTAATGATTTAGCGATGACGATGTCTGATGGAGTAGTCCACCCATATTAATTAATGATGAATTTGAAAGAAAAAAGTCTTCGCAACGTTCAAAACTGTCGTGTGTAAAAGCTGTTGGCTTCAAGCGCGACGTGATCGATACGCAATCGTTCTGCCGAGTATTTCCGAAGTTATCCGTAAAGAAACGAAGGTAACCGAATATTAACGAAGTTGGTCGAGGTAGTATAGTGAGCAAACGACGCGTACGGAAGAACGCGGGGTCTTCTCCGGCTTGGATTGAAACAGCGTTCGCGTCTACGGGCGCGGTTTTGCGTCTCGAGCTGGCGTTTTACATGGTAAAATGTCCTCCCTCGATTATCTGGACTTGTGTCGATTATGTCTCGTGAAGGACCGTGTTTCGGTGCCAATTTTCGAGGGTGAAGGAGACGTACGACAAATATTTCTCAAGATCGCTGCCTGTCTACCGGTCAAGGTAAGCCAACTACGCCATCGCTTCGACAATGGCGATCCGCCATCTTGTGCATTTTCATAGCTACATCGCGTTTCTACAATCGTCCACGACTTTTCGACCTCCCAGTAGATGTATTTGCTCCCGATTGTTTTAGAGATCGCCCTATAGACAAGAAATTACAAGCAATTCCAAAATAATGATATCCAAATAGCTGTATATTGATGTTACACTATTTATGTTTCCTTTTTTCTTCAATTTATTTAATTTGTTCATGACGCTACAAATTATTCAATAAAATTTTGCCGCGCTTTTTTCCCTACCTTAATGTATTGCGAATCTACCCAAATTTTTCATCACCTGAGTAGTAGCCTTTTAATATTTTCATTTCAAACGACGATTCGCAATGTGTTTTTCTATTTACAGCAACTATATAACTGAATAATCCTCTTTCTTTTCGACATCTTGTTTTCGACACCATTGTTTCTATTATAAAATGCCTATAATTAATTATTTATTTGTATTATTTAAAATGGTTTTATTAATTTATTTTTAATGTTATATTATATTATTTCGAAATCGTTTTTATAAAAAATTGAATTAATTTCACTTTTATATTTGAAATTTGAAAATACAATTTTTTATTTATAAAATTTAAATCATTAATTTTAGTCATTAATAAATAAATGTTCAATATATTGTTTGAATAAATGAATATAATATATATTTTATTTTGATATATTTTGAAAGTATTACCTAAAATTTAAAATTTTTGTTTTATTGTTACATTGATTGTTAATTCATATTATTCAAAGACTATTATATTTTGCTTTATTAAAATATTTTTATTATATAAATAAAATATTTGTTGTAAATTATTTTTTTTTTTTTTTTACATATGATTACAGCTTACAAGAGAAGATAAGTTACCTAAGAAGATATGCGATGATTGTGTGTATAAAGTAGAATTATTTTATCAATTTTGGAATACAACAGCAAACGCAGAAAAACAACTTTTGCAATGGCTAGGAGAAGTCAGTTTAGAAGACAAACAGGGTTATGTTACCAATGTTCTCAATCCGGTAATTTTTCATATACATACATTTATTTCTATGTGTAACAAAATCTAAAAATAGACATTCTTTTATTTTTTGACATTCAGTTCCATGTTTACCTTAGTTACTGCTAGTGTTAATGATAAAAATATTTTAAATTTCATACTTTTGTAAGTTTTTTAATTGTTTAATGTATTGAATTTTCTTTGCTATTTCTAATTTATTTTTATACTTAAAATATATTCTAATAATTTTGATATATCTTGATGTATTGATACATTTGAAGGTTATATTAAGTTGAGTTATAAAAGATAAAAAAATATTTTTATTTAATTAAAAATATTTGTAAATGATAAATTTTGTTCCTTACTCAATTACAGAGTGTAATGAAACAAGAACAGAGTACAGAGAACAGGTTAGATGGCAATGTGATGCAGCAAGTAGAGGAGCATCAAAACAATATGGGGATGGGTATGATGGATAACATGGGTTTGGGTATTCCCATGATAATATCCAGTGCTAATCAACAACAAATCACCTCAGTTCCTATGGACACCAGCAGCAATTCTGTACAAACTATTCAGGCAGTACCTGGTCCAAGTTCACAAACTACACATAACCAAATACCACAGAATCAAACAAGCTCTACGCAACAAGAAGATGAAGAGGAAAGTAGTGAAGATGAAGAAAATTCTGACGAAGAATGCGATGGAGATGAAGGTAAATATCGTAGCATTTATATATTTTTATTATTAGTTTTTTTTTTTTAGAATTTTCTTGTTAAATGAATAAAAATAAAAATATTTAAATCTTTTTCTTTTTATTAGGCCTACCTGTAAAAGAAGAAAGTGAAGAAGATCCCAGCAATAGAACCATAGAGCCTACTACTTTTGTAAATGTTTCCTTGGCATGTGATGAAGCAGGTCCTTCAGGACTGCAGCAACAGAAGATCTCAGATATGCCTGAGATGCCAATTCCACAGCCAGCTGATGGGGATCCCAAATCTGGGTGAGTCTTTTATCCATACTTTTATATCCTAAGGGCCAAAGGTGCCATTTTGTTGTGGAGATCACACACACTTACACAAACATTTTTATGACTTTTTTCTTTTCTTTTTTTCTTTTCTTTTTTTTCTTTTCTTTTTTTTTTTTTTTCTTTTTTTCTTTTTTTCTTTCTACAAAATTGAAACTTACATAACCTAAAATAAATTGATTTAGTATAATAATTTCCATTGGAAACATACATTTATATTTATGATATTTCATATTATTTCATTTATAAATAATTTTTCTTTTTAAATTTATAAATTATAGATTATTATTATTGTTGTTGTTATTGTTATTGTTATTATTATTATTATTATTATTATTATTATTATTATTATTATTATTATTATTATTATTATTATTATTATTATGTCAATAACATTTAATATTTTTATATTAATTATTTTCTAAATATATTTTAAATAATATTAATTCATTTTTTTTTATTTTTGCTATTGTTGATTGTACACATATTTTCTACAATTTTCATTTTTCATTTTAATTAAAATCCGTAAGAGTTAGTCACCTAATTTGAATGAATAAGGTGCAATAAAATGACAAGGTAAGTTAATACACACCCCACAACCATCTTTGGCTCTCTGTATTTTGCAATTTGATTTCTTTCTTTTTTTCTTTCCTTTTTTTTTAATATTTTAAGAATCTATCTTGTATTTCATTTTTATGAAATTATTTCATTGTACGTAAAACATATTTAGATAAAATATCAATTTTTTTTTATGAATATGTTTATTTTATAAAACAAATTGCAAAATATCTGAATATTCCTTCATGTGATAGCATGTATTTAGAGTTCCTTTTAATAAGAATTATATAAACATAAATATTAAGACTGTTCACATACAATGTTTTCACGAATCAATTTCATTACAATTTTCTTATTTAAATGAACTCTATTCTAGTTATTATTGATACATGTACAATAAATGAACAAAGGGATTTTACTAATTATATACATATCTACGTTATTAACACTTTTATCAGTATTTTTTGTGTGTATGTAATTGAATCAGTTGTTTTATTGCACTTGACGCATATATAGGTATTTAATCCCTCTGTTCAATTGAGAACCAGATGTTTACATGTTGTCAGTATCAATATCCCACGCTTACGTGAAGGCACAAAATGCCGCACACGGCCGACAATAGGCCGACCAAAAATCACAAACTAATATTTCGTAAGTTAACGTCACGATATGATAGATGCTTGGTGTATTTAAAAAATATCACCAAGTTATATTATAATTCGTAAAAAGAGAAAAAAAATTCAAATACCGTTTCTTGTCGTCTTCGTGCTTTCCAATGCCTACGCTTTTACATTATTGTCAGGACCACATAATTAATATATCGGCTAGTCTGTAAGTGCTATCATTCTGTTAATTGCGCACACAACTCGCTGATAAACTATGTGGTATTATTGCCACTAGTTCGGTTTCAATCAATAACATTTACGGATACGGCATCTTTATTAGATGTCACTTTAAAATAATCGAGTGTTTTACGATAAAAAGAAAGTTTATTTAAAAAATGAAAGAGAAACCAAAACAATTAGAGTAATGATTGTATCAAGATGTGATGAAGAATTGAAGAATAATCATCGCGTGAGAAACATGAAGAGGATCTCAGGCATGTTGTTTAAGGCGAGTATCAGTTTTTGCATATTTTGGAACTTTTGTTTTTTATCTAAAAATAGTCTATAAGTATAATATATATATCGAATGAAATTTATTATATATTATATATATATATATGTATATATATATACGCGATATTACCAAAGAATTTCGTGATTTTATTCTTTGGAATTATATAGCGCTCGTTTCAGCATAAGCTTTTCTAAGCTGAAAATTCGATGCGCTTTAATTATACGCATATTTTAAACGCGCTGCATTAAATTGCGCGAATTATTTTATTCGGTTAAAAAAAAGCAGTCGAAATATTTTGTAAAATTAATTTACATTTTTCGACGCTTTCGACAAAATCAGGCTGCGTTTACGCGCCAATTAAAAAGTAATTTTCTGCAATTCATTTTGTATATTTTCTTCTTTTACGCAGTACATTTGCATCGGTATATAAAAAATTAATATGGATGCATTATAATTGTACTTGCGTAATTTTTATCACGATTGCGAGTAATGATGAAAAAAAGTGATTATAAACTTTGAAATATTTCTTGTTTCCATTTACAAATTGTTACAGTGCATTTATCATATTTCTGTTTACATGATAACGTAAATGGACTTTCAAGTTAAGAATGTTGAATACAAGAGAAATGTGATGGAAGAAGACAAGAAGAGACTATGTGGATATCGGTTCAAAGGTGAGGATCTAATTATCATATGATACTACATTAATTTGATCTCTTTAAAAATAATGTATCTTTAGTAAAGATAATGATCTTTTAGTAAGGGTTTTGCTTTCTTCTAACTTCTTTGCTGAGTTTTGTAGCTTAACTTTTTTCTTCTGCTGGTTTGCTGTAGAAATCTTTAATTTCTTTCTTCGGTTTATGCCAATTTACTTCATTCTAGAGTCTAGAGATGTGAAAAGGCGAGAGATAGTTTAAGATTTAATCAAAATACGCGTATATTTCATTCTTTTTTAATTAGATTCATTACTAATTCATTTAACATAAATAAAGTAGTAAAAAGCATCACGAGCATATAACGTTCTTATTTATAACAGTCTATTTATACACAAAAATAATATATTTAAATTTTCAAAGGACAAGACAACTATATTTATCGTGTAAACTCCAAAGGTAAAGTGAAGATATAAACATTGCTTTCTTTACGATCTTCCGAGACGTGTATCCTTATTTGAGGAATATAATATATTTCTACAACATATAATATATTCTTCATATTAACGAGGAAGATCATGAAGGCGTTAAAATAGAGAAACGATGACGACAAAACTCTCTAAGCTCGATTTGCACTTGCGCTCTCGTCGGCACTCTCTGTACTTCTGTGTCTTTGGAAAGGAAAAACCACAATGCCCAAGCACTTTGCACGGTCACTATACAGAAGTCACGCAGCGTGTACTCTATTTCTCTCGCTTTTCTATCTTTTCACACCGCTGCCTATTGCAAGAGAGAAAGCAAAGATCACAGGAACGAATAAAAAAAAAAAAAAAAAAAGGCAATGCCTGTCTATCTATTGTACCGGTGGTGTTCGCCGCTGCATTGTCCTTGGGTTTTGTCAATTTCAGGGAAGGAAGCGAGACGTTCGGCGGATTGTCGGGGATGCTACGTCAAATACTTTCGCCATCGCCCGAGACGGGAGATACCTGTTTACCCGTCACTTGTACTTTGCTTCAGAACAACACTATGTTCTCCAATCAATCGTCGATGATGTCCTCAACGTATCAAACCGTCCCATCCCACTTGCCATCCATTTGTTCCGATCAGATTCTCATGGATCACGTGCAGATAGTCACCGAATCCCATCCGTGTTCCACGTGTGGCCTTGAGTTTCGAAGCGCTCTGAAACTGAATTACCACATAAGAACCAGTCATTCGGCCTTGCCGGAGTTCGAGCACAACATAGAGAATAATCCGATGAGATACTCGTGCACCATTTGTTCACGGAGTTTCTTTGCTCTGAGTCATTTGAGGATGCACGAGGTCACGCATTCCGCGCCACCAGCAACCTCCTGCGCACCGATACCGACGATATCGACATCGGTGAACGTCGATAAGACGTTCGCCTGCGATCGTTGCCAAGCCAGTTTCCGGTATCGTACATTATTCGAGCGGCACAGGAGGATGCACGAGGTCGGCCAGGAGAAGCCTTACTCCTGCCCTAGATGTTTGATGCGCTTCGAGACCCGAAATTTGTACAATCATCATGCGAAAACTCACAAGCCGGGCAACGATAATAGGATAACCGACACCGTAGTAGTGTCTTCCGGTGATCCGGTCACTAGCAGTATTAGCGGTACCATTGCGTCGACCAACAAATCGGTACTCTCGTACCCGTGTGACTCGTGCTCCAAGCAATTCGCGAGCATCGAATCGTTGACTACCCATAAGGCTGTACATAGGTCCAGACCGCTCGTGTGCGACGTCTGCGGCAAAGGTTTTACACACCGCAAGTACTACGTGGTGCATCAACGTATTCATACGGGAGAGAGGCCGTATCTTTGTGCCATGTGTGGGAAGTCGTTCACTCAAGCATCCACGCTTACCGTCCATCGCCGATATCACACGGGAGAACGTCCTTATACGTGCACGTTGTGCGGTAAAGGATTCGTTACCAGAACCATCATGCTGAATCATATGAAAAAGCATTGAATCGAATCGTTATCGTTGATTCGAAAAAAGAAAAAATACTCATCGATTCGGATTCTTTTTCTTTTTTTTTTTTTTTTGTTTTTTTTTTTTTACGAAAGTTCATGAATTTTTTTTTTTATTTTTATCTTCTTTTTTCCTTTTAACTTATCATTTATTATCTGTTGGTTAAAGTTCATCTTATTGATGATGATGCGAAAACTTGTATTCGTTTCTAGTCTAGTATAGAAATAGAAATTTATTTATTTTTTTTCTCTCCGTTTTAAGAATATTTTTCTTTGTGAAATTTTTCTTTTCTTCGACAAATATGATTTCTTTGTAGAAAAATAACTCGCAAAGTGCCTCAAACTTGCTTATATAAATAGATTATTATTAAATTATTGTGCATACTACGAATTATCTCGTCAGAATTATCGCGAGATTCAACAATAGTAATTTATTGCATTTTTAAATTCAGACGAGTTTGTTAATTAGTAGCAAAAATGCATAAAAGAAATGATTAATTGATTAATCTTATGTGTAATATGCATGTCGTCACTGTGATACTGTTTGTTCGTGTATATCCTGAATATTTTAAATGATAGGATATCTTTTACGATTATTAGAATCTCGCAATTCCGTTCAGAGATATTAATTTCAAACGCGAAATTTGCTTCAACTAAAATTAGTACCTGTTTAACGAAATAACTTTATAATGTGCCTAAAAAGATAGAATTTTTGAAAAATTTTAATCGATAGAATGGAAAAAGACATTTTACATAGAAGAGCTAATTATAATTAAGCAATTGCGTATATATATATATATATAGTGTTAAAAGTTATTTGATGTTAAAATATCGTTACAATAGATAGAAAAGTATTAGCATTTAATTAATATACGATTACATGATTATTTTAAGTATTTTTTTTTTAAACGATAGATAAAAATGATATAGTTAACAATTCAGAGCATTAACGAATTCATGTGCCTCTAAATAATATAAGTACAGGGTCACAATATATATTATAAATATCGTAAAACGTAAGTATGAAGACGCTTAAATATTTCTATGTAACTTCGTAAAAACAAGATCTCTGCTATTGATATTAATAACATAGTTATAATTAATCGTTGGACGTAATCGTTACTAAAAGATTTCTAAAAATTTTATCACTCTTGAATGTAATTTTTTTTGTCTAATTAAAGTTTTCAATGTTATTAGATAGTTTTGTATAACCATTTTGAAATAATATTTCTTCTTTTATTTTTACATATTAATAATCTATATTTAATTATACTAAAACGAAAAAATATGTTCGTATAATTATTTTTAATAATAAATTCTAATGTTTATCGTTGAGTTTAACAAATTTTAATTATCTTTCGAGATATAGTTTTAAAATTATTATTTGTGTAATTTTGATATTGAATAATTGACATAAGAATTAAAATTTTTTTATAATAGAATAGTTATTTATAATTTCCTTTTTTTTTTTTTCTAATCTTGTAAATTCAAAATTACGTATAAATCTTGATGTTAAACAAAATTGTATTATATAAATTATTTATCTGCAAAGATTTTTTTTCTTATAAAACTTAATTTTCTATAATAACGATTAAATTTATTGTTGTCTATATTTGGTTATAAACTCAAGTTTTAATTCAAGATGGCGGATATCATGTGATTGGATCGTCGGTAAAACAGTACAGCATGTGGTAAGTGTAATAATAGAAAATCTATATATTAAAATATATATATATACAATCGTGTTATGATACAATTATAAATTATCGTGTGATTTTTTAAATATTTAACGATATTATTCTTGTTATGATACAAATATATTGAAATTACTGACTATATAACTTTTGCAATTACTAATTATGTACGAACGGTTATTGTAAAACTTTTTAGCTAATGTTTTTATTTATTAATTTGTATAAATACCAAATATATTGGATTATTGAGTTTGCTAAAATGCTAAATCAAGAAACTCGATATTTGACGAATATTGAAAAGATTCTGTGGAAGTATATTACAATACCATTACGTAATATATTTCCTAAATTGATATTATTATTTATATTAAAATAAACGCATTTAAGATGCGTATACTGTATAAATTTACGGGTAGAAAAAGATTTCGAACGGTAAGAACGCAATTTAGAAAAAAAAAAAAAAAAAAAAAAAAAAAAAAAAAAATACTGGAAAGCACTGAGGCACTTTATCTCGTATAGATATATTTGTTTAAACATATATCTTATCCCTCCCCCTAAAATTTTTGACGTAATTTTAACGACACTGAACACCTTGAAAGGAAAGAGAGTAAAGTATATCGATCGAATGCAAACGATACGTTGATTGACCTACGTTTTGTGTCTCTCTTCTTTCCAGATATTTTACGACAAAGGTACCGATGCTAGCTCAGGATCAGCAGGAATGCAGCCCGAACGAGATGTTCAAACAAGAGGAAGACACGGAACAGCTGCTCATCGCGAATCGTTTGCACGTGCCGACCGTGGAGAATACGGAGATAATCATCACCGATGGTATCGTGCAGTGCGATCTCTGCGGAGACGGTTTCGTTTCCGAGCATGCTCTGGCGCTGCATTTAAAAGTTCACGAACAGGAACAGGAGGTGCAGGTTCAAGATGACCAGTTTGTATGCGAGCACTGCGGTTGCAGTTTCGCGAAGATGTCCACGTTTAAGGAGCATCAAGCAGAGCACGAAACTAACGAGAGTTACGTTTGCGAGACGTGCGACTATGTTATGGATGATAAAGAGAGTTTGATAGCTCATCAGAAGCAGCACAATATAGAGTACGAGTGCGAGATTTGCGGCGCCAGTTTCGATTCTTCGGCCGGTTACGAGGAACACCAGGCAGTGCACTCGGACGAAAAACCGTTTCAATGCGAGATATGCCACGCTCCGTTTCGCTATCGTCAAGGTTTGAGATTGCACGCGAAGCTGCACCAACCTGATTACGTCCCACCACAGAGGAAGCATCACTGCGAGCTCTGCAATAAACGTTTTTCGAGAAAGCAGGTGTTGCTGGTCCACATGAAGACCCACGGAAACGTGGGACCCCAGAACGAATACATTTGCCCCGTTTGCGGCAAGGCTGTGTCCAGTAAGACTTACTTGACCGTGCATTTACGAAAGCATACAGGTGAGAAACCACACGTTTGCGATCTCTGCGGCAAAGGATTTATCTCTCAGAATTATCTGAGCGTGCATCGGCGCACGCATACAGGTGAAAGACCCCATAAGTGCACCCACTGCGAGAAACGATTCACCCAACGTACCACCCTGGTGGTGCACCTCAGAGGTCATACCGGCGATCGACCGTATCCTTGCACATGTTGTCATAAATCTTTTGCCTCGAAAACGATGTTAAACTCACACTTAAAGACTCACGCTAAACAGAGTGCGCGACAGCAGCAGGAGCAACAGCAACAGCAACAGTTGAAACAGGAACAAGAGGTCCAGCATCAAGAGCAGTCTCTTGATACGATAACTATATTGTTACCTAGTTAGGATATTTCGTATGATTAACGAATTAATTATTCTGAAACGATTACAAGGCCTTGTAAAAGAGTTTATCCACTTGTAAGGAGAAAGTTACTTATGGTTACTATGCTTATATAGTATGGTGGGGTGGTATTTGTATTATTTATGATCGAAAGAGGGATAGATATTTTAATCAGTCGTGATTGTAATATGAATGGTTGTTTATTTTTATACAATGATGAAATTGTAATAGAGGAACAATTAAGATGTTGAGAAAAATAATTCGTGTTAGTGTTTGAAGCATTTATTACGCACATATATAGTTGATGATGAATCACTGTTCACATTCTTGATATTCATTGAATGAATTGAAACATAATTCTTGAATAATGACCATGTTTCAAGTTTAACTTTTAATGAGATGAGGATGACACAATGTGCTATAAGAGTTCCTCGCTAACATGTTCGAAATAATGTACGTTTGTATGTATGTCTCAAGCTCAATGCTGTTTTATTGCATCTTGGCCATAGGTAGTTAGGTATTGGATATCGAAATTGGTCAACTTGTAAGGCAAAATGAAAGACAGTGATGCTCGAGATCATTTGTTAGATAGATTGGCTAGAAGATGATCAATTTGCAGGGCTGAAAACATTGGCCAGGATGCAAAGCATTCCTGTAGTAATTTTCGACTATTCTTTTTTATATTTGCATTTAATCTTTTTATACTACGATTGATTTTGCATAATTATTATGCAAAATTTAAGACGAATTCCATTTTATTAACACATTCAAACGAAGTTAATTGTAAGTTAACTGTCTCCTTTTCCTTTTGTAACTTTAACATACAAATAGAAATACGAAAATTGTAAATCTGCATATAATAGTTCTTACCGATGTTCACATCTTCTTGTAAAATTTCACGTTTTATACTTCATTCTCGCGCAAGCGTTGAGAGAAATTTTTTATGTAGAATTTTATAGAACAACCGTCCACGCTTCGATAGGTTTTATATTTTTCCTGAATACTCAATCTTATTTTATACGCACATACATTGATTTACCACTTCTTCGTAAATATTATACATGTATAAAGTTATTACATAGAATTTTGCAAGAGGTGCTTTAAATTAGTGATCGATAAATATACGATAGTGCCTTAGTTGTTATGCGGTATAATTTCCGCGAAAAAAAAAAGGAAAAAAAGAAAAAAGAAAAATATATATTTAAGATATCCGAATTAACGAATTAACGTTATAAAAGCTGAAAATTATGAATTGAAAAAATGATATTGATAGATCCATTGATATAATTCATTGTTTCGATTTGAAAGATTAAATATTGTCTACGCTTTTAATAAATGCAAATTGAGCGTAAAAACAATCACATTATTACAAATTATTATAAATTAATAGGATTTATTATAAACTTATATGATGAAATGGTACTTCAATTTGTGATAATAACTTTTTTCGTTAAGTGTACGAAATAATTATGATATATATATTAATTATTCTTAAGAAACAATTTCTTCTAATTAAACGTTATATTGTTTCATGACAATTTTTCTTAATTTATAATGTAAGTATAGATACTTTAGTGAACGTCTTATTTATCGCAGCTTTTCCTTTATGTTACCTTTATATATTTGGTATAGAGAAAGGGGAAAACATTTTCTTTCGTTTTTTTTTTTTTTTTTTTTTNTTTTTTTTTTTTTTTTTTACCTATTGTCATAACCAATAATTGTAGTGTGATATGTCACTTAGAGAATTAAATGTAGATAGTATTACAGTTATAATATCCGTAACATTTTAAGATTTGCATTTTTATCGATAAAACGAATGAAAGTTGACTTAAATTTATAGTTATCTAATTCCTTATGTATGCAATAGATTTTGTATATAAATCAGGAATATCGTGTGTGAATCGAATGAATGTATGATATCGCTAATCTATTTCAATTATTTCTACTCTATCCAATCATTGTTTATTATCCCAGATCAGATAGTCAATAGTCTTCTTTTGTAAGCAAATTCATATAAAATAAACAATATAGTAAACATCTTGTTTCATGCATTGCAAATTACCGACTCGATTCTTTTGTTTATATCTGTGTCTGATTATCTATCAATTCGGATAAACGAAACTTCTAAATAATAATAAAAAAAAAAAAAAAAAATGGAAAAAAGGACAACGCGAATATCGCATAATATCGATATAAAAAAATCTTAACGTTCCGTTACAAATTCGTTACATCTTCTTCCGTTTGTTCACGGCTGTGTGCATTTTGTGCAAACGTGTCTACGAAAAACAATTCTTTTATCTCGTATCACTTGTCCGAACGATTGATCGAAAAAATCGAAGGGATCCGCTAACGAATCGATAACGATCTGACTTGGCTTTTTTCCAGTAAGTAGCTTCACCTTCTTTCAATACTGTGCCCTGAAAATTGTCGTAACACCTATACATAACTTAATCGCTCCACTCGACGAATCATATTTCAAAAATTCAAATATTTTCATCCCCCTTCAATTTACGACGGTACAAAATAAAATTCTCGGCACACAGAATCAAAACTACACTTTTTGAACTCCTCCCCTCCTCTTGACTCGAGCCTCGTTCGATTAATAACATCAGCTCCACATATAGCCAATATTGTTGTTCTTCTCGTTCTGCGCGTGCAAAGCGTCCCCCATTGCAAGGCTGGCTCACGCTGTGTTGTCTTTTTGCAGAGCGAAAAACGTGAAGACGATAGCAGCCAAGCCGAATCAATCTCGCGCCCCTAAATCGTCCAATGAGGAGGATCGATCGTTTCTCGTTGTCGAGGATGGTGTCGGTAACGACTCGTGCGTTGTTCAGGAGGAGGCATCGTATCGATGCGAGTCGTGCGACGAAGAGTTCGACACGGAGGGTGCACTGTTGGTGCACAGAACCGAGCGGTCGATCCTTCGAACTCGGGAGGCGTTGAGAAAGGCCGAAAAGAAATACACTTGCGACACGTGTTGCGAGAGTTTCGCGAAGAAGGTGCAGTTGTTCAAGCATCGGCGGGGTCGGTGCAAAGAGTCGAAGGCGGCGAAGGGAAGCGTGGAAGGGAAGCAGCACAGGGGAAAGGAGAGAGCGGTGGTAAAGGGAGGTGTGAAGAGGGAGGAGCAGCAGGAGAGTGTTTCGGTTGGCCCGATAGAGTGCAACGTGTGCCACAAGGTGTTCAAGAAGAAGAAGTACCTGAACGTTCACAAAACGTTGCACGGGGCGCCTCACATATGCCACGTGTGCGGCGCGAAACTCACCTCGGAATATTATTTGAAAATACACATAAGAAGGCACAACAAGGAGTTCACCGAGTTCTGCGAGATTTGCAACAAAGGGTTTTACCTGAAGGCGACGCTGAAGACGCACATGAGTGTCCACACCGACGACAAGCCTTGCACCTGCGAGATTTGTCACAAGTCTTTCGGTAATCGGGTCTATCTGAGAAGTCACATGAAGATTCATAGCCAGCCTGAGAACAGGAGGAAGTACAAATGCGAGATATGCGGATTCGAGACGTTCTACAGTTACTGTTACAAGGAACATCTTTGGACTCATACCGGGGAGAGTCAAGTGGCTTGCGAGGTTTGTGGCAAATTGATCAGGAGGCAGTACATGAAAATTCATATTAGGATACACACCGGAGAGAAACCGGAGGTGTGTGAATTTTGTGGGAAAGCGTTTAGCTCGAGGAAGTATCTGATCAAGCATAGAAGAACTCACACAGGCGAGAGACCTTACAAGTGTAAAATTTGCGAGAAACGTTTCACTCAACGGGGCACCCTGAGCGCTCATTTGCGCCGACATGAGAGCGCCAAATGAAGAGAGAGGGGAGATGTTTAAATTTTCCTTGAATCTTTGTAGTAAATAAAATTTACTACCCCCTTTGTTTCTGTCGTTTATGTTAGAGATAATTCGATTAATTTAAAACTAATAAACTTAATAGTATCGGTTTTGGTTAATTATACAGGAAGTCGTTAATTCTTATATTGAAAACGAGAGATATTTGTCTGAAACATTGAAGTTTAACATAATATTTTGAAAAATATTAATAAGGATTTTTATGGTTGATTTTTCATGGTATTGTTAAATTTGTGTTGCTAATAATTTGAATAATATTCTTTTATTGGTGTTTGTGATCGTTTGTATCGATTGTATAAATTGTATAGATTGCAAATATTAAGAACAGTATCGAGATTACAGAGATTAATAGCGTTTAGAAAATGCTTTTCTTTCGTATAGCGTTACGAGTGTTTTAATTATACTAATTGTAATTTTTGCCATGGATTGGTTGAGTTAATCAATTTGTAACACAACAAAATGCATATATTGTATATAATGTAATAAAATTCATTATACATATATTATTATATTGCTTGTAATATTTTTGCAATTCATATAAGGACATTATTAAAATTTTGATTTAATCAAAATGTGTACATTTTTAAGATTAGTTTTCTTAGAAATCAGAATTAAAACTACTTTAATGGATTAATACATTTGTTACTTCAAATGCTTGTATACGAAACAGTTATTGGTAAGTAACACATCTTTAAACAAAAAGAATAATAATCTCGGATTATATTAAATTTTGAAAATCTTTTAAAAATTCGTGTAAAAAAATTACGAAACGATATATTAGAGAATCTTAATTATATCTTTCAAAATTCTATTCGATCAATTTATCTATTATAATCCAATATTAAACTAATGTTTACAAACATATATGTTTTACAACGTAATATTTCATTTTTTTCTTTTTTTTTTTTTTATTTCAATCTCGCAATATTTGTACAAATTATCCGCCAATGTAATAAATTTTACAGAAGAGCTCAAAAATGTGTCCCAAATGAGTTCCAAAGTTCTTCTTTCAAAAGCGTGTTAGCAAGACGTATGATAAACCAATAATATCAAACACAGAGATCAAAAATATTGCTATTTAGTATATTCATTCAGAATGGAAAGGATCTTCTTCTTAACCGACACGCTTGTTACTTTCTTATTTACACGTATGTCGTGTTTTACATATTAACGATTCTTGTCCATTACAGGTGCGAGGAGCTCGAACTCGTGGAATCAAAAATAGAACAAATAGAAACTCTGGAAGACATGGAACTGGTCAAGTATCAAAACGAAATATGCAGTGAAAGCATCACAGTTGAAGAATTCGAACAGATCAGCCATCAGGAAATAGTGACCACTGATTCGTTGGAGGAATCTGACGACGCAGAGATGAAGCTTGTTCTAGAGGAGGAACAACAAGGAAACGTCAAGAGCTTTAAATCGGCCAGAAGGTGTACAGTGATCTACGAATGCGATGTTTGCAACAAGAGGATGCGGAAGAGGCTTCAATTCCTGAAGCACAGGCAGGATCACGAGAGGAACGACGAGATTGTTGATCGTTGCGAGGAATGCGACAAAACCTTCCCGGATGAGGAGAAGTTGAAGAAGCACATGATCAAGGTACATCAAAAAGAGAAACCGTTTCAGTGCGTCCTTTGCAACAAATGCTTCAAAACGGAAGAATTCTTGAAGACTCATCTGAAGCAACACAACAAGCGATTCACGTGCGATATCTGCGGTATATCCAAGGTATCCGGCTACGATTTGCGACTGCACAAGAAGAAGCACAACGAGGAGTACGTGACTCATTGCGAGATATGCGGTAAAGGTTTCTATACGAATCAAACGTTGGAGAGACACCTGCTCACCCACACCGGGGAGAAACCATTCGTCTGCAAGATTTGCAACACTCCTTACGCGAGTGCTGCTTATCTAAACACGCACATGAAGTCTCACGGCGAGCGGGAGAAACACAAATGTAACGTGTGCAATTTCGAGAGCTATTGGAAGGCGGCTTTGAAGGTGCATCTCAAGATACACACCGGGGAGAATCTCATCACTTGCGAGATTTGCGGCAAATTGGTTTCGAGCAAGGCTTATCTCCAGATCCATATGCGTATACATTCGGGGGAGAAGCCGCATGTGTGCGAAGTATGCGGCAAAGCGTTCAGCGTTCGAAAATATTTGATTGTACACCTGAGAACGCATACGGGTGAAAGACCGTACGAGTGCAAGGTGTGCCAGAAAAGGTTCACGCAGCAGGGCTCGTTAAATTCGCACATGAAGTCGCATCACGAGAGAAAGTAGTGAACCAAAGGCATAAATCTTATGTATGTGTGTTTGTATGCATGAAAAAAATAGATTATGAAGAAGATGAAGAATCGCGAGATGAGAATGAGAGAGAATACGTGCACTCGTTCTCCTTGCAAATTACATTTTTTGATATAATAGGTAAAGAATATTTATAAGACTCGATCGAAGAAAATTGATTGATTTAGATGTATTGTATAAATGTTAAGAGGTTTTTATGTATTTGGCTACTATGGTGAATTTTTTGCAAGATGTTTCATTGTAAAATTCATTACTTGAATATTCATTCATTACTGTATATATTCTATTGTTATTAATTTTTAAAAATGAAATTATTTACTTTGATTTTTAAAATTTCTATTATTATTAAAATTTGAATCGTTGCTATATTAATGAGTAGTACTCATTTATATGTATTTATAAAATCTCCTAATATTGTACTGAAAGGGAAATGTAATTTTTTTCAATGATTTTAGTAATGATAAAATGTTACAAAAAGTTTAGCATGGTAGCCATCGCAGTGTTACGATAAATTTTTGTAATTGCTACTTTTTACTCAGGTTTATCCTGTATTTTTCAAATCGTATTTTTTACAAAAGAAATTGATATTAGTAAGATTTTTCTAACAGCTTTACACAAATGAAATTATTACATATTATCATAAAGCGATAATAAAATAATTGATAAACTGCATCGAGCAGTTTTATAATAAGCGCAAATTAAATTAAAAATTAATTACAATGATACAATGATTACAATGAACGAATGATTACAATGAATGAAAAATTTCATTGAATCAAACAGTTAATACGTCAGATAATTTTGTAGTAAGACTGCTTTTGATTTATCAATATTTAA